GTGAGGGGGAGGGGCACAAGCATTTTTCTTGTAAAACAAAGGAGGCCCAGCGAAAAAAATTTGGGAACCACAGCACTAGGGCGTGAACTCGTCCAGGGACCATTTAATATCTCACTCAATAAAACTGAAGAGACTCAAACTGTCTTCTATGTTACACAAAGAGTTGGCTGAAGTATTTGGACAGTTAAATATACGTTTCCATGGTGTGTGGTCCGTCCTGGCTAATTAATAAGTGAGTTGATTTGAAAATAAATGTTGTTGTTTCTTCATTAACCAGCTGAGTATCTCTGCTTGGAGCATTTGAGCCTTTAAAGACTTTGGACTTCTGATTTGTCCTGTGTCGGCACCACACAGCTGAAAACATTAAACGCTGAACAGAAGCCAGACATCTTTTAAGTGAATCAACACTTAGCTGACAGGTCACACGACAGAAGATGTTTGATAGTCACATGTTGCTGTGTGAAAGTGAATTTGAGCCCAAAGTCATCTTTGAAGGATGATTTGGACAAACTGAGAGCTGAAGGTGTCATGAGGGATTTATGATGGCGAGGGAAACTTTTGATCTGATCCAAACAACCTGAAACCGTCCTGACTGCTATTCCCAGGAGTGAACCTTTAAGATGTAAAAAGTATTTATCTCTATTTTTTGATGTGCAAAAATGGAGATAAACTTGCCAGTGGAGTGTTGGCTCGAACATTTGGGTTTCAGACTTTCCACCCTGTACGGTCGCTGTGATGCATCAAGGCCTTAACCCGCTAATGACAGGGTGTTAGCTACCCTCTGAGTGTACGTGGACCCTGTAATAACTCGTCTCCTCCCTGTTCCATACACTCTGCCCTGTGGGCAACATACAGAAGCATGAAGCGCTTTGGCTCCACAGCCCTTTGTCCTCTACCATGCACCACACGTTTGCTCATTTTTTACTTGCTTTTCCTTACATTTGTATTAAAGTTTCATGTAATCTATCAGTGTGTTAAAGTTGAATAAAAACACGATGTTTGTTTGTTAACCTGATAATATCCACCTGGAGGACAGCGACTGGGTTTGGTTTCATCCCTTTTATGTAGACGTTTGAGGTGCCTGGAAATCTTATAACCGAGTGTTGGAGACTTTATTTGAAAGCTAACATCTATTTTCTGTGCTTGTTCAGTACGAGGCTAAAATGCAACCTAACCCTAAGTAGGTGATTCACTCATCATGGATCTCTCTGTCACTGACTGGTTGTAGAGCACTCTGTCTGTGCTAGCCTGTCATATGTCAATCAGTGCACTCATCGGTAGCTTGAGTCCTGTCCACTCTGCATGACAAGCAGTTATTTTGCATTATCATTAAATGCCGTCATCCATCAGAGAGCACAGGAGAGAGCTCTGAGAGGATGTTTGCATGCCTACAAATGTTTGTGACCATGCACACTCTGCAGCAAGTACACATGAACCTTTTTAGACGCATGTCCAAGAAGTTTAACAGGATATAACAGGATGTCTTCAGCTGTCCACGTCCGTGTCTGCAGCAGAGTGTAATTGGCTCTTAACCCTACATCTAAAGCTAGCCTACGATGCCGTCTGTGCGAGCGGCCGTAGGCAGCGTGCACTTGTGTACAGTTTGTCTATGTTGCTCTGCAGTTTCACCATCAAAGCACCGACAGGCAGGTGGAATTTCTCTCCGCAAGTCGATCTTTTCTCTTCCAGTCAATGCAAACCCGGTGGCAGGCGAAGTAGATGGAAACGCAGTGCTGAGCAGGCCGCGTTGAAGTGATGCACAGCTCCATTTCTGCGGAGGTGCACAGATACCTGAGCGTAGGTTACAGCCCAGGGTCTCAAAGGGGTCATGTGACATAACTATGACATAGATTTAACGCAGAAGCATAAATGCACCGTGTTTCTCCCGCGGTGTTCAGAGGTGAAGTTAATGGTTGATAACATTGAGCGGTTTAACGGCGACGATGGTTTTTGTTTTGATCAAGCAGTCAAACTGTGAAATAAAAAGAAGC